TTTACCAAAAAAGGGAGGGGAAAAATGTATAAGTATACATTTTAGAGAATTCTTTTAGTAACAATATACAGTTCACCCTTAAACAACACAATCTGAACTTTAAGGCTGAATTGTAGCCGCCACCCCAATTCCTATGTGGAAGTCCTAACCCCTAATCCTTCAAAATGTGGCCGTATTTGGAGGCAGGGTCAAACACTATAGAGGGTCTATGCTTAAATAAGACCTCAGTGATGGAAGCAATAAAGTCCTGTGGGAGTTTCAATTGTGGAAGAAGCCAGTAGGTGAACTGGTCAAGGAAAGGTCACCTTGAAGTAGAGAAAGTGAAGCACAACAGAGGGCTAAGAAAATGAGGAAAGATTGATTTTCAGCAGCAAAGACGTTCCAACCTGTGGGGCTCCCTGAAGCACTCTGAATGGTTATCCTAAGTGTGTGGGTGACATGGGAATTTGAAACACGATCCTAGAACAGCATTTGGAAAGCAAGCAAATTAAACATCCATTGTGTAAAACTCACCAAGGCCAGAAAATGAGTGCTACCTGTAATACATCTGATCATAAGCAAAACTAGACCTAATTGCTAAGCCAAACACAATGATCACATTCAGAGATATCTGGATAAAAACATTAAAGTTTATCCAAACATTTTCCATCTTGGTGTGTGTGTGTGTTTAAATTCTGGGCTTCCTTTCTGGGCTTTGTAACCATGCAACTTTGGCTGCTTGTTCCTTTTATGAGGCATTCATGTCATGACTGAACTTCAAAACAGCATCTACACTTGAAAAGCCAGTGGCTAGCAACCTATGGTCCATGGCCTGTTTTGTAAATAGAGTCACCTTCACATTGATTCAGTTATTTGTTGTCTACTGCTGCTCTCTCACTACAATGGCAGAATAGAGTCACTGTGATAAAGATCATATGGCCCACAAAACCTAAAATATTCACTATCTAGTCCTTTACAGAAAGTTTGCCGGCCTTTGGTCAAACTAGTTGTTTGTTATTTTAAATTTTTATTTCAATTACAGTTCACATTATATTAGTTACAGGTGTACAACTAATCAATATATCTTATATACCTTACAAAGTTACATTTATATACCTTACAAAGTTACCACCCCAATAAATCTGGTTCCCATCTTACACCATATATAGTTATTACAATATTGGCTGTATTTCCTATGCTGTACTTTACATCCCCATAACTGTTTTTACAACTGACAATTTATAGTTCTTAATTTCTTTCAACCTCCTCCTCACTCATCCTCTTAATCCCGCTCCAACCATCAATTTCTTCTCTGTATCTCTGAGTTTGTTTGTTTATTTAGGTTGTTCATCTGTTGTGTTTTTCTGATTCCATACATAAGTGAAATCATGACTAGTTGTTTTTAAAATTCAATTCTTAAAATTTCTCCTAATAAATCATTGGAAAAACTAAATTTTTATTTTGAAAAGTTGGGATTGTAGAACTAGATTAACAATAAAAACATTTTAAGTAAAATGACAATAACAGATGATAACAAAAGAATACCCATTGCCCTGGCCCTTACAGTATCTCAGCTGCTTAGAGCATTATCTTGATACACAACGGTTTCGGGTTTGATCCCCAATCAGGCACATACAAGAATCAACCAGTGAATGAATAAATAAGTGGAACAACAAATGGATGTTTCTCTCTCTCTCTCCCCCTTCTTCTCTCTCTCTAAAATCAATAAATAAAAAATGTATAAGAAACTAAAAAGAATACTCACAATCTTTCAAGGAGACTTAGCCCAGAAAATGAACCATTCTTCAACTCGGATATTTTATTGTTACTCAGAATCCTAAAAATGACAGAAAAATAAAATGTAAGTTGCCTAATATATGTACACCATCAATATCAAAATAATTTAGCTCATTGTATTTATATCTATGAGAAATTCTAAGAAGTCCTTTATCATTCTCCTTCCAATTTTTGAAATGCCTGACCAAAAGATGAGAAATTCTAAGAAGTCCTTTATCATTCTCCTTCCCCAATTTTTGAAATGCCTGACCAAAAAAAAAACAAAAAAGAAAAGTTTCTTTGTCTTTCTTTGAAAAACCACCTAAAAGAGCTTACACATCTGTCACTTCTTAAATTGCTCCTGTCACATTGAACCAAAAATTTAAAATAGAGAAGTCACCATAAAATAGCTCTCAGTTCAATATAAGAATAAAGAATGCCACATACATTTATATAATTAATCAACTTACTAAGTTGAATACTTATTTAAAAATTGGAAACTTAACAGAAAATTATGTAAGCACTCTATAAAATAACGGCCTTACAAAGAAATAAAATACCCCCTAGATATCTTTGCAATATTGTTTTTAATCTAACAGTATGCAAATCTATGTGTCTACGTGTGAATAGATACTTGTCACACACACTCACATACAGAGATAGGAGCTGAATCAAGTTCTGTTAAATGGAAGATTACACTAGCAAATGACAGAGCCAAATGGCTAACCCAGGACATTTCTGCTCCAAACCCCATGTTCTCCAACTACTCCATGCTGGTCAAGAGAGGCACTGCTGGTATCTTGGGCAGAAAATTCTCCATCACACTCAGGGCTACACAAATTCTGGGGCACCCTTCATAGTGGGTCCAAGGTGGAGTGGTGACCCCTCCCTCCCAGACAGGGCAACACGCACGTCTATGTACATACACATGTAACACAATGCCTGCGCCCTAACATTTCAGGTATATTTTCACTCTCTACTTTCAATATTCTAAAAATGTATTAAAATAAAAACACCCATTTGGCATCTAATTTTCTTGAGATATAAATGTGTTTTGTTTTGTTTTTTAATTCCTACTCATGCCGATTCACATTTCAGAGCCTGCTACATGGGACGATCATTAGGAGCTTCTCAGGTCAGGTACACCTGTGTTTGGAACCCAGTTCTCCAATCCTTCTCAAGGGACACTGATTTTGGGCAAGTCACTCCACCTCTCTGTAACAGAGTTCCCTCATTCATAAAACAGGTAGGATAATACCTGCTGAGTAAACATGGAAGGAAACTAGTGAATGCATGACACACCCAATGAGCATTCCTTAGGAGTTAGATTCAGTTTCCCTGGTTCTAAGACTCATACCCTCCCATTTTAATGTTTCTTGTAATCAAAGTATATTACTGTGTAGTGTTTGGCCTCTTCCCAAAGCTGTTACTAAAGCAACAACCAGGGGACCAAGAACACATGGTCATCAAAAACGTTCCAATTAAAATACAATGTAATGTTCTCTAATCAAAATTGCAAAGGTTTTTAGAAGTGAGGTAGCTGGCAAGGGCAAAGCAAACTCAGACGGACACGTGGCCACCAAAGTCCCTGAAGCAAAGCTTCACTGAACAGCCTGGGGGTGCACACCCAGGAGCCTCCATCCTGCTGTCCAGGCATCAACCCTACGCTAACAAGTCACCCAATCTGACAAGAAGTATACCTATTTCAGTGACCTATTTCAGCACGATTTATAACAAAGTTAGAAACTCCCAAAGAGGTCAGTAAGAGGAGATAATCGCATTGTGATATATCCAAACAACAAAATGTTACACACCATTAAAAATGATTCTTTTAAAGAGACTTGATGAAAAGGAAAATGCTTACTATCAATTACAACAACAAAACCGATACCATTGATTGAAAAGATTTAAAGAGACTTGATGAAAAGGAAAATGCTTACTATCGATTATAACAACAAAACCGATACCATTAATTGAAAAGAATCCAGACATCCCTCCACCCCCCCCCAAAAAAAATACTTGGAAGAAATACATCAAAATGATGAGACTTCTATTAGTTTCTCTTTTGTTCTTTATAATCTTGCAGTGTATTTTAAAATATCTAGACTATGACTCTGATTTTTAATATATTTTCTCAATAACTAAGCACAGCTCAAAACAGAGTTAATTTTGAATACAATCATATCTAAGCAATAAAACCATAAAGAACATTTTATTTATACTTTGAGATTAAAGACTCACATTTATTTATCCTCCAAAAATGTTTATGTAACTTATTAGACACTAACAGTAGGGCAGAGAACAATGGTGACAACATCCAGAGTCCAGGGCCTGAGCCGAGACCCCACCAGGAATGAATGGTTTAGTCTGTGACAGTCACTTCTCTAGGGAGAATTCTATGTCATCATTTTAAAGATGGAAAACATTAGACCAGAATGATCATCAAGCTGTCTTCTAGCTTCTCTAATTTTCTATAATTATTCATGGTTTAATGAGCAAAGCTGTTGAACTTTACAGTGACCAAGAATTTATAACCAATAAACCAAAAAGAAGGAAAACTGCCCAGTCTACTTGCTAAGCTCCCTGTTTCTGAGTGAAGAATGAAACCCAAATATGGAAGTGGCCTGGGAAACACGGTCCGGGCAGTGACCATAACACTCACTGCGCTCAGCATTATTTCATTCAGCCAAAGGACCTTCATTGGCTCAGTCATAAAGGCTTTGGTCCAATAAATGATAGATTTTATTGAGGAGAGTAAAAAGACATTTCATCACACTTAAAAAGTTATAACTGTAACCTTAAAAATATATTTACAACCTCCTGTTAATATATTCAGTCTCCACATTACTCGCCGTGTTTAAGGATTCTGTGCAAGAAAAACAGGATCAGTAGGAATAAATCTACCCTGCAGACAGTTTTTATACTCAATTCTGAAACGGGGGACTGCGGAACTAGAAAATGCATAATGTCATGTATCATTATAAACCTAACACCCATTCATAATCAATATTTTTGCTGACATCTTTGAAATTTCAAACTTCCTAGGAGGTACCTAAGTGAAAAATATAAAACTTGACTAAAGTTATAAAGTGTAGGTATACCCATTTCTGTTCTATACTAATGGTGATAACCCCACATGATGGATAGACAATGCTTAGGAGCGCTGTGCCGGGCTCGGGCCTCTTGAATTTTAACTCTGTAATACACGCTCCATGTCCACTGCTGTAACTCAGCACAGTCCCAAGGTGGTTCAGTGTATCACTTATGCTGAAAATGAAAAAAAGGAGTAAAACAATATAAACATGTTTGTGGTTTTGTTTTGTTTTATTTTTGTTAATCAAAGTTTATGGAACAGAAAGAAAGAAAAATTAAGCATTACGTGCTCTCAGTTGCTTGCTATTGCAGGTCCTGGAATGGAATGCTGCTAATAACACCCACACCCTGCACGGCAGAGGGTAGAGAAGAATTCTCCTTTTGAGAGGAAATGAAAATATATAACTCAAGAGCAGTACATATTCAGATCAAATGTTAGGAATATAATTATTAACGAAAACCACTGGAGGGAAAAAATCAGCTAAACAATCAAACAGGGTTATTGCGGTGGATGGCATGGGCGATCCTCCAAAAGATGTGTCCACCCAGAACCTGTGACCGTGATCTTAACTCAAAAAAGGCTGTTTTGTGATGCAATTAAGGGTTTCGAGATGAGATCATGCTGGATCAGGGTGGGCCCGAAATCCAGGGACAAGTGCCCTTAGAAGAGGCTGGCAGGAGACCCCCAGGTCTGATGAAAAGGAAGGCAGACTCAGAAAGAGAGGGGAAAAAAAAAAGGAAGGTGGGCAGGTTTGGAAGCCACAATAACTGAAGGTTTTCAAGACCTAAGGAAAGGAGCAAATAGGACTACACTTTAAGCTGTAGTACATTTTAAAAACTTCTTGAAAATTTTAAACCCAAAAGCAATGTTAAAAGATAAACAGCAGCTCTGGCCAGTGTGCTCAGTGGTTAGAGCACTGGCCGGAGCACCTAAGGGTCTCTGATTTGATTCCTGGTCAAGGTCAAATGCCTGGTTGCAGGTTTGCTCCCAGCCCTGGGTCAGGGTTTTTTCGGGAGGCAATCAGTAGATGTGTCTCTTTCACATTGATGTTTTTCCCTCTCTCTCCCCCTCCCTCCCTTCCACTCTCTGAAAAACAATGGGGAAAAAAAAGATAAACCACACACAGGTATAACTACTATCAAAAACAAATGGCTAATTTTTCAAATATATAAAGAGCTCTTTTTAAAAAATCCCTAATAAACTAGCAAAGGCCATGACCAGTTAAAATAAACATCAATAAATCATAATCATATGAAGGGATATACAATCCCAATCATGAGAGAAATGTAAATTAAAACAAAAACAAGATACCATATATCACTAAGGGTTGATAAAAATACGCTAACTTTTTTTTTCAGAGGGAAACACTCACTCATATTTTGTTATAAATCAGTAAAATCACTATGGAGGGCAAAAATACAAATGCATATATAATAACTGATCCATTAATTCCTCTTTGGAAATATATCCTAAAGATATACTCGTACATTGCAAGATACATTACATTAAATGTTGTGTAATTATATATTTATATAAGAAAATTCTCATTGTGCTATTGTTTGTAAAAGCCAATGACTGGATATTTAGGTTGGTTCCCATACTATGGGATAGGTGACAGTGGTCCACAAAATGGTACCCCATGCAGATGGGGGAGGGGGGTGCTGCAGAATTGGGGAGAGGGAGCTCTTCAGGTATTCATACAGAAAGATCAGTGACATACTGAGGAAAGAAGGCATGAATTTAAATATTATGTTTCCCTCCCTTGACACTTAAGATTTGCTCAAGGAATACAAATTGTAGTAATGCAATTTGATTCTGTGTATTAGATTCATCATGCCGACTAACACTTGTTATTGCTACATTGTCCTCAAGTACAAGGGAAATGGACAGCAGAGCTAAGCGATGCTTTTGAGTCACTAACCTATTGGGCATACGGCCTCCAAGCATGTCAAACTCGCGGACGGCAAACATGTTTAGGGCCCTAAATCTTTAGGACCCCCTCTGATACGCTAAAATGAGGAATGTTAACTCCTCAAAAGTAAATGTTTAGTGCTTTGCTTCATTTACCCCAGAAATGAAAACTGGTTCCACCACAAGTTCTTCGAAGTTCTAGTCCAGGGTCAGTCAACTCCAACATTCCACCTGGTCTCCCGACAGACCATCGGCTCTAGGAATGGTTTTATATTTTTCAATGGTTAAAAGGAAATGGTAAAGAATTATATTTTGTGATACATGAAAATTATATGAAATTCAAATGTCAGTGCTCTGAAAGTCTGAGTGGAACACAGCCATGTCCATTTACTGACATACTGTCTACAGCGGCTTTCATGTGATGATGGCAGAGTTGAGTAGCATCCACAGACTGGCTGGCCAGCAGAGCCTAAAGCATTGACTATCTGGCCCTTCGGAGGCAAAATCTGTCCACTCCTGTTTGAGCATACTCTGACCCAGTTTTTCTGCCTTTCTAGGCAAATGAAAATCGAGTGCTGATTTCTAAATGAATTCTTTTTATCTTTATTGTTGAAAGTATTACATATGTCCCCTCTTTTTCCCCCCATTGACTCCTTCTATCCCTCACCCACCTCCTGCCCCCGCCCCAGGTCTTCACCACACTACTGTCTGTGTCCATGGGTTATGCATATATGCATACAAGTTCTTTGGTTAATCTCTTCCCACCCCCTCACCCCACCCATCCCGTAATTCTTCCAAGCAAGTAAGAATAAGAGAGTATCTACTGGACTCCAAAACTCCCCATCAATTTGAATAATCTTTATTTTAAAATCACACTGAACTCCACATGCCATCAGCAATTACACACATTTTGTCCTAAGCATTATTTGATTACTCACCAATGTGTGCTCCTCTTAATGGCATTCATTTGTTCATTCATTCATTCATTCATTCATCCATTCACTCATTTATTCATTCGGGCAGAAAAAAATTCTGGTGGTATACTTTAGTTGTCGTATGTCAAAAATGTTTTGCCCTCACTCTGTCATATCATCTTGTTTTAACAGCACTACTTATTATCTGAAGTAACTGTTCAGGGGTTTGTGTATTTACCATGTTTCCCACGAAAAAGTCAAACTCGCGAAGTGTAGAGCCCTTGACCATCACTGCATCCCCATGAAAAGAACATATGGTGGGGATATGCAGGGCACTGTTCAGATCTCCTGCAGCTGGAGAGGATCTGCCTCAGTTTCCCGGCAGGCCACGCATTTTGCAGGCAATGCCACCCGAGGACTGAGCACAGCGTTGGTGAGAAGCGCTCCACTCCTGGCCAGTAAAGACTCCCTGACGGACATCTCTGCACTGAGCTTCTGACGGGCTGGCCAAGACTTTCCTGTGACTGAACCTTAGTCTGAGGCCCCTCCTACCCGATCATCCTTCCCTCCCCCTTTCCTTTCACAGGTGCTAGACCTGCATCCCAGGCCGAAGGCTTCCCATGCCCACTTCTGCCTCATGTCCCTTTGTTTTCCAGTTGTTTCCCCAATAACAATAATGCAAGTCTAACCTCATCCTGGCATATGCTTCCCAGAAGGTCCCATTGACAAGATGCCCACAGTATCTGTGCAATGAATGAATGAAATAAAATTATGGCTGGATTTAAGTTTCTATGTTTGGTCAAAGATCCCTCTCTCCCAATAACAATAATGCAAGTCTAACCTCATCCTGGCATATGCTTCCCAGAAGGTCCCATTGACAAGATGCCCAGAGTATCTGTTCAATAAATGAATGGGATAAAATTAGGCTGGATTTAAGTTTCTATGTTTGGTAAAAGATCCCTCTCTAGTCCAGCTGGGGTGGTTCAGTGGTTGAGCATCAACCTATCTCAGCCAGGGTACGTGCCTGGGTCATGGGCTTGATCCTCGATCCCCAGTGGGAGACGTGCAGGAGGCAGCCAACCAATGATTCTCTCTCATCATTGATGTTTCTATCTCTCTCTCTCCCTCTCCCTTCCTCTCTGAAATGAATATATACATATATATATATACATATATATATATATATGTGTGTGTGTGTGTGTATATATATAATAGATAAGTATAATAACTATATATATATATATATATATATATAGTTATATATATATATATAATTTTTTTTAAAGATCCCTCTCTAGAGAATTAATGATACAAAACACTGTAATGCCCTGGCATTAACAGAAACAGATGAGAAGCACAAATATCAGTCCCCTCTCACAGTCGCCTTTCTTCTATCTGAGGCTCTGAGGCTTAAGAACATTTGGGGGGAGGGGTGGTCAAAAATTCTACCACAGTATGTCTAGTTTTCTTCTTTTAATATTGCAATAAAAGTATTCTAAGATACTTTTTTCAACATTATAACTCTCCTAAAATTAGGACCATCTTAACATTGATATCAAAAGAAAATTTCCAGCTGCCAGAAGAAAGAATAACTTATGAATTAAACCGTGGCTGTCAATGTTGGCGCATACACAAACTGTGGTTGAATTTTAAGTTGAGACCCCTAATTATGGCTTAAAATTTATACATTAAGGTTTCATATGATACATCCCTGAAATAAAAAGTTGTATAATAGGAGACTGCATATTCTGTGGCAAGCAGCATAATGAAAGGCAGCAGAAATGTTAAACCTCTCAGAATGTAATTCAGGAGGGGCTGGTGGGATTCCTTCATGGACAGCAATCACTCAAGCGGCTCGCATCTCAGCTGCCAGTTAATGTATAAGGAAAATAGTTCAACTTCCAGTGATGCATGATTAGAATAAAATTGGGAAGAAAAAAATAGTGTGTTAAATTAACCATGTAAAAAATACAAACAATACCCTATCTACATAAATATCCAAATTATATTACCAAGACTAAAGATGCAAAAACATAAAAAAATGAAGTCAAGGTCACCTTTATAAAAAGCTCAGTGGGTTAGGAAGTATGCATCACACTGCCAAATGATTATAAACATGTTTATCACACATTCATGGGCAGAAAAGCAACGGAGAAAGCAAAGGCATAAAAGTGAGTAACAACAAAATCTGTACAGGGCTTACGCTTATTATTCTGATTCCTTTCACCTTCATATAAGTTTAAAATTATTTTCAAATAAACACGGTGTTCAAATGATACTATGTATTAAGGTGAATGGTCCAGTGACTCAGAAGAGCTCTAAATGAGAAGGCTGGGTGTCAACTTAAGTACCGAAGAATTGGTATTTCATGGTGTGGGAGAAAGAAATACAAATTTTTAGAGAAACCAGCTCATAAAAGGACTGTCTCTCAGCTCCCTCACTGATAAGCTCTTTGGAAACAGGCATCTGCTCTTTGATGGAATCGTAGAATCAAAGAAATAGCAGCTGAGTCTTCCTTCTCCATGGGCTTCTTAGTTGGAGACTGGTCTGCTGGACTCATCCTCCACATCTAATTCTGCTTCATAGTTCTCAGCTTCAACCTATTGCTTTGAATGTTGGAAGAAATTCCCTGCTCAATTTTCCAGAGGGCTATTTTCTTTCTTTCTTTTTTCAATATATGTTTTTATTGATTTCAGATAGGGAGAGGGAGAAAGGGATAGAAACATCAATGATGGCAGAGAATCATTGACCAGCTGTCTCCTGCACGCCCCACAATGGGGATCGAGCCCACAACCAGAGCATGTGCCCTGTCTGAGAATCGAACCCTGACCTCCTGGTTCATTGGTCGGTGATGCTCAACCATTGATCCACGCCGGCTGGGCCAGACTACTATTTTCTGAGTTCTAAGCAGTTCCCATTTTCCTCTTGATCCCATCTCCTGCCCCAGCCAGAGCTTCCTAACATCACCACCTCACTGTTCACTTCTCAGACCTCCTCTTCTCACACCCCTCACCCATGGGTGCTCTTGCTTTATAAAGTTGTTCTCTTAGGTCTGAGACTAGAAATGACAATTTTCCTGTCCTAGCTTTGCGCTGATCATCCTGTTGACTTCCTCTCAAGTATCTGATGACCGCTGGTTGCCTGCTCACACTTACAAAGGGGGGTCTGGATTGATGAGAGTCCCTTCCAGCAGAGGGCTGGTAAATGATTAACAAGAGAATAAGAGTGAATGGGTAGAAAAAGGAGGTGGAACAAAAATGCCATTATTTCAAGGTTCAGAAGTCACATATCCTTGGAAAGTAGGGACACAACAGAAATCTGGGGTCCCCTAGGATTTCTTCTTCTGGCTACAACCCCCCACCAGTATTCTACCTTGGCAAGTCTCCCAGTTTATTGAAAACTAAGCTGAAGGGCTTTCTCAGGGAGGCAAACCCTGCCACCAAGCCTTTGAGCCAAACTCACCGAAAGCAGAGTGAGAGCAGCTGTTCGAGGCGTGCACATTCTGGGCCAGCTCTCTGCTCACCCACTTTTGTTGCCACTCCCTATAGATTCAATTCTTGGAAATCTTCCAGGATCTCGACAGGAAAATTCATTTTTCTAGCTATCCCCACTCTCCTCTCTACTGGGCTGTAAGTCCCTGTGCTGTGTAATGTCACCATCAATCTGATCCCATCTGTTTTATTTATACTACGTTGTCCTCAATGCTTCTGCACCACTGGAACACCTTTCTCATTTCCCAGCCCCGTTAGTTATGAGTCTGCTCATATTTTATGTGTGTGTGTGTGTGTGTGTCTGTGTGTGTGTGTGTGTGTTTTCTGTCATTTTCAACAGAGTTTGGGAAGGGAAGGGGAAAAAGGAAACAACCGTGGTTCAGTGCATATCCACTTAGGGGGTTGGGAAGGGGTCTTTTCCTAAAAGTAGAGGACTATCTCTTCTTCAACCTCCTCTCCGGATGCTAAATGGTTTCCCCCTAGAGGGCAGGCATGGTTTCCCCCTCACGCAGGTTGGCTGACATTTTCCTTTACAAATTTTGCCAAAACCTCAACTACCATTCACTGAACAGAATGATGACCGTTAATCACAAACGTGCCTGTTAAACAGAACACTTCATATGTCAACCCGAGTTAGAGCCCCAGGGTCCCTGTA